TAGGGTATTACTATGTAGCCCTGGCTAACCTGGAACCTGCTATCTAGACCAGGCTGGTCTCAAACTCATAGAGATCTGTCTTCCTCTGCCCCCCAAGTGCCGTGATTAAAGTGTGTGCCATTACACTGGGCCCATAAGTAACATTTTAAAAGAAAAAAAAAAAAAAAGAATAAGGCAGAAACTGACAGCAAGAAAGAGCACGTGTTCAGAACACAGGTCAAACACTGCAGGTGTTGGCATGGTTGGTACACACTGGCTCTCTGAAATACAGGGAGGTTCCATCAGTGAGGGGTCAGGAGTCCCACACCAATGCAGCCAGGCTCCATGCACTTCCTCTGAAATACACAAAGGGGATGTTCCTTACCATCTTGCCACTGACTGTGGCCTCCAGAGAATCCACCAGCTCGGCTGTGACTCCGATGAGGTTGTGGTAGTCGGCCTGGATCTTATTGTAGCGCTTGAGGTAGGTCATGGCTCGGCGCTCAGCCTCCACCAGTTGCTGGTGGAGCTGCTGCAGCATTTCTAGGAAGAGAGTCTACACTGAAGCCAGACACAAGGACAGCACTGGCAGCAAACCCAGAAACCAAGTAACTGTGCTCTTCTCGGAGGCTGCCAAGCCTTCCGCTATGGTACTTCACAGCACCACATAAAGTGGTGACAACAATAAAAAAGAAATCCAACAGCAAATGCTGGCAAGGATGTGAGAAAACTTTTACTCACTGCTGGTGGGAGTGCGAAATTGGGCAGCAATATGGAAAGCAGGACAGAGGTTCCCTGCAATGTTCACATGACCAAGCTATACCAATCCTGGGCGTAAATGGCAAGATATCACCACACCTGGGCATATACCCCAAGGACTCTATATCCTACCACAAAAATAGCTGCATATCTGCTTTACTGCTATTGCATTCACAATAACAACAACAACAACAAAAAGAGCCATTCTGTGTTCGGCTCTTGCTTCAGGTATTCCTATACATTTTATTTTCCTGTTCTTTCCTTTTTGATTAGGAACCTGTAACCTGCCCATATTCTGCTACTGGATAAGTTTGTAATTTTCTGTATGTCTTTTACAGAGCTCAGAGGGGGGGTTTGCCTTGAATTTTAGATGAATCTCTGATATCAGGCTTCCGAACAATGCTAGAACAAGCAAGCTTTTGGGGCCTCTCAGAGATGGGATTAGTGTGTTTTCATTGTGAAATGGTCATTAGCTTTTGGGGCCAGTGGTACAATCTGACAGGTCTTCCAAATATCCGTGTGTTAGAGGCTTAGGCCCTGGGGTGGTGCTACTGGGAGGGCACAAAAACTTCAGGAAGGGGGCTGGAGAGATGGCTCAGCAGTTAAGAGCACTGACTGTTCTTCCAAAGGTCCTGAGTTCAATTTCCAGCAACCACATGGTGGCTCACAACCAACTGTAATGAGATTTTGTGCCCTCTTCTGGCCTACAGGCATACATGCAAGCTGAACACTGCACACATTATAAAAATAAAAAATTAAAAAAATTAAAAAAAAAAATTTCAGGAAGGACCCAGTCTGTCTTCTCTTTGCTTCCAGGTTCATGATATAAGTAGCATGTTCTACCACGTCACTTACTATCAACATCCGGTGCCCTCATCAGAGACCCAAAGCAACCAGGCTGTCTGATCTGGAACTGCAGCCCCCAGAACAGAGAACTAAACCAACACTTTTGCTTTATAAGTTAACTGCCTCCAATGATTATTTCATTGTGATGACGGGCAGATGGATAACACATGAGGAAACCAAGGGCAAAAACAAGCATTCAAATCTCCTTGCCTCACGCTACCAGACTCTCCATATGTGTCACAGCTAAATGATCACTCATTTGCCAACTCCCTGGTAAGCGGAATTAAATAATTTACTAATACTTCCTTTCTTTAAAAAAAAATGCTGGGAATGGCGATATGGTTTAGAGTTTGGAACACTAGCACTCATCCAAGGGACCCAGATTTGATTCCCAGCACCCACACTGCCACTCACAACTATCTGTAACTCCAGTTCCAGAGGATCTGGTGCCCTCTTCTGGCCTCTGAGGGAGACAGGTACACATGTGGTACATAGACTTACATGAAGGCAAAACACCTGAACACATAAAAATAAAAGTTTAATTCTCTTACACGAAGCACAGAAAAACTAGGGAAGAAAGTTCTCAAATCCTCTGACATTGCTCTTTTTGGAAAAGAACAACATTGCTGTTTCATGGAGCAAATTTTCACATAGGAAAACTCAATCCTCTGGGAGCTGAGGGCCCTGCCTATCTAAATACTTGTACATAAAGCTCATCACAGACACTTCCCAACAACTGAAGGCATTTCCAAAACAGAGTATCTAAGACAAGACCAAGACAAAGCATGGCAACTAAAGCCACCAAGGCCACAGTGACTAGTTTTTCTCCCCTTACTGAAAGATGAAATGTTCTGCTAAAAATTATTGCCATGGAAAAAAACACCATTTTATGTAAACGCTCAAGACTGGAATTGCTTTGAATGTTTAAAAAACTGGAAATGCTGTTTAAAAATGGAACTGCATCTGACAAGCAGGAGGTAAAAGCTGAGCTATTAAAATAATTTCTCTGCCCCATGCTGGCTGTGTGCTTCCTGCCAGCCTGTGACTTGGCTGTTTCCCTTTTCTCCATTTCTTACTTATCTAATATGCTGGACAGGATGACACACTAGCCATCCTTAAAGAGTGGGCCTCAAGGAGCTGCACAGAGCAGGGTCACAAGGCATTCTGTAAATATTTAGACTTTGAAAGCCCTCATTTGCCAAGTCCACAAATTCTCTCCGTCTCTGTTTCTTCTCACAGCTTAAAGTTGAGCTGGCAAAGCTGCTCTCATGAAAGCAGTAATCAAGATGATTTACCTTTGCTATTCTGTCCATTCTCCTTCTGGGACGAGAAAGCAGCTCAGGAAAACAGGGCCCTGGGGCATCTGGTGTTGTGAGGCTGATAAAGAAAGGGCCAGAGGCTGATGGAAGAGACTGATCTCCACAGTGGAGGCCAGAGCTCCAAAGGTTGCTGAAAACAACCAGGCAGCAGTTTCTTATGCTGCTTAGTCACTGCCACCCCTTGGCTTCATCGCAGTGGCCTCCATGAGAGCCATGTGCTGCAGTATTCCCTCTCGCAGCCTCCACACTGGCCTGCTTGCCCCTAACAGAGGCCTTTGCACTGCTGGCAAAACCTTCCCCATGCTTCTCTGAACCCATACCCCTGAGACTGTTACTGCGGCTCAAAAACTTCAGCCCGAGGACACAGACTGGGGGAGGACAGTGGCAAAGGCTGCACCTGGAGTTGGGCTGCCTGGCTCTCAATCCTAGCTCCCAGTTGTCTGTACAATGCGCAGAGTCATGCCTTTGGTTTATCTTACAGTTTTTCTTCCTTCTTTCTAACAGCTCCATGCACACATGCTGTGTGGGGCCTATTTACAGTGCATGCTTCAGTGACTTTGTGTACATTCAGAGGGGTATACCCAGCACTGCAATCGCCTCTGCTCTTCTTTTTCCTCTCCATTCCTTTCTTTTTCTTCTCTTCCAGGGCAAGGGATCAAACCCAGACCTTGTGCATTAGCAATGTATATCCTCCAGCCTTAGATGAGATAACTTTGGATAGATGCTTGTCCAATAAGAAAAGACACATGTTCGCCGGGCGTTGGTGGCCCAACACTCGGGAGGCAGAGGCAGGTGGATCTCTGTGAGTTCGAGGTCAACCTGGTCTCTAGAGAGAGGCTCCAAAGCTACACAGAGAAACCCTGTCTCGGAAAAAAAAACAAAAAAACAAAAAAAAGACACATGTTCTTGTAGACTAACAGCCAGTGGGAAATAAACCAATCTCCAATGGGTGGGGTGACAAAGCATTCTGCTATTCTTGGAACAGACTCCATTTATAGCTGTGACACTGTCCCTCTGTATTCTCAAAAGTGTCCCCAGTGGGATTAAATTAGTATAATGGCTGTACAACTGTGTCTACTTGCTAAAATTCATTAAATTCAACACTTCTGATGTGTAAACTTCATAGTATATAACTATGCAACATGGTGGCTTAAAAAGCCTAGATTTGAATGACAAATCCAAACGCCATGACCTCAAGGCCTCCAATATGACTACATGACCCTTTGCAAAGGAACACTTTTTCCAAGGAGTTTTTTTTTTTTTTTTTTTTTTCAAGAGTATAGAGTTCTCTCTTTTTTCTTCACCAAGACAGTTTCTAGACTGTTGACACCAACATAAGATCATAGGGCTGGAAAGATGGCTCAATGGATAAGAACACTTGTTTCTCTTCCGGAGGGTCTGAGTTCAGTTCCCAGCAACCATGTCAGGTGACACACCTTCCTGATACTCCAGCTCCTGGTATCTGAACACTTTCTTCTGGCCTCTGCAGACATCTGCACACACACGCACACATACACATACACATACACATACACACACACACAATATGTCTTTCAAAAATTAAAATAAGACCATGGCCAAGTCTCAGAAATCCATGAAAGTCGGCCCTGTCTAGGTCATGGCAAAGTCTCCACAAATGCTTAATTCACCTCATAAACACGAATGCAGCAGATCCTTGACATCTTGCTGGTTGAAGAGACCCAAAGACAGTGTTGTTGCTAGAACCCCAGGGGTCCCCACTCACTTCAAAAGGATACATAGATGGTTAAAAGTTTTGGTGTGTTACTGGCTTTAAATATTAAAGCTAAAAACTTTTCCAGCTTCATCTTTAATTCTGGAGTCCAAGAATCCTGAAAAAAAAAAAAATCAGCTCACTAAATAGCCACAGCACCAACAAAGCTGTGGGCATTGGGTTAAATAGCCCTGTCAGTTACAGAAACCAAATGTGAAGCATCCTGCCAGGGTTGAGAGAGCAAGGAAAACAGGTTTTCTGATGTGTGACTGATTCATTTATAAATAATTCAAGGACCCACAGCAGGGACAAATAACTTGCATATGATTAGAATATTTCATTTGATTTAAACTCCAGCATGATAGGTAAGCTTATTAGGCTGAATACCAAAATTAATTAGGTATAGTTTAGGGATGCATGCCATGGTAGATGTGACACAGACAATTATCTCTTAAGTTACTAGACAACTCCAAAGAAAGGGAATCACTTCCAGACCGTATCTAGACAAGAAGAAAGAGGTGGTGCATGCCTGGAATCCCAGCACTGAGAAGATCAAGGCAGGAAGATCAGAAACTCAAGGTCATCTCAGTCACATGTCGAGTTCAAAGCCAGCCTAGACTGTGTGTGACCCTGTCTCAAAAAACCAAAAACAAATATTTGGGAGCCATGAACTCACTAGTCAAGTTGTTCTGGTTTGGACTACTATTTTATATAATCAACAAACAGGTACTTTCCACTCAATTACTTCTTGGGCAATATTCTTGCGCCCAACATGGATAGGCTAGAATACACTCTCCAGCCATGAATCTCTTATTTTTTCCTTGACTGCTCTTATTTCTATTGTTTTTAGCTTTGAGAAGGACACTTTCTGAGTCTGATGAGCACTTGATCCCACACTTCCAAGGAGAAGTATGAAGAGCCCAGAGAAGCTGGCCAGCTCTGATGAAGTCTGGGAAAAGCCACTCATCCTCTTTCTCAGTTTTTTCCTGTGTAGAACACAGGCTTTAGAGTGCATTTGGCTGCTTTTTTGTCTTTCCAGAACTAAATTCTTGGATCCTTCAGAATCTCCAGCGGAACCTTAATCCACAGCAGGACGACTAAGGATGGGGGACTCAGCCCAGGGCTCACCTCCACGGTTTCCCCCATGGCCTCCCGCCCTCTCCCTTGCAGGGCCTGCAAACTTTGTTTTGACCCCAGGCCCCTAGTGACTGAACCTGGGTTCCTCTACATACTAAGCAAGGGCTCCACCCTGAGTTACATTCCCTGCTTCTTTTACTTTTGATTTTGAGATAATAGGATCTATCTCATTAAATTGCCCAGGCTGGTCTTAAACTTGTAATCTTCCTGCCTTAGTCTCCCTCGTAGCTGAGATTACAAGTCTGTATACCAGGCTAGACCCTTCCATCTCTTTAAGTTTTTACTAAGTAAGCTGAAGTCAGTACGTGGCATCAGCATGCGCTCAGGAATTTGCCCTGAAATAATCACAGGTGTCTTAAGTGTTTCCACAAGATGGTGTTCACTGCAGTGTGCAGAAGACACACTGATCACTAAACAGAAACTGACTAGCTGGACTGGTGATGTACACTTCAAAATTTTTTATTACTTATTTATGTGAATGTGTGAGCACCTATGCATGTGCCCAAGGAGATGTGTTAGCTCCCTGAAGCTCCAGGCAGTTGTGAGCTGCTGACATGAGTGCTGGGACTCGAACTCAGGTCCTCTGCAAGAACAATATATACTCTTAACTACTGAGACATTTCTCCAGCCCATGATGTACACTTTTAATCACAATACTAAGAAGACTCTGTGAGTGCAAGGCCAGTCTATTCTATATAATGAATTCCAAGCCAGTCAGGACGACATGACATAGTAAGAGTCTGTCTTAGAGAAAAAAAAAGGAGCTAGGCATACACCTTTAATTCCAGGACCCAGGAGGCAGAGACAGTAGTTATGCCTATGCAAATGTTAAAATTCATAGAACTCTACCTGTCCAAAACTCAATTTTACTATATGATGTTTGAAAAAACTGATTTGATGTGTGTGCATGGGTGTGTACGCGGCTAAAAACTACATTTATTTTGCTAACTGTAAAGGGAATCATTGGATGTGTCTTCTCTGGTATCTGACTTGGCTTACTGAAGAGTAAGTCAACACATGGTTCAGTTCATACATATGATACATCATTGTTATTTCCATTCTGAGACTACAACCCAATTTCCTTCTACATGTCTCTACTGATATCTAACTGGACTGTTTCTAGGTCTTGCTACGTCCCTTACAGACTTACATATATGTGCAAGAACATACAACCACAGCTGAAAGTGCAGGATAGTAAAAAAGTAAGTAAAAAACTACCAAACCATTTAATAGAATAATTACATAAATAAGAGCTACAATAAAATGATAATAATGATGGTAAACTTTAGGTCTTTTAAAGTGTCATTCAGAAACCACCAATACAACACTGTGGTCCAGATTCTGACAAGTTCCACAGGCAACTGCTTACCTGGAAGAGTTCTTTAAATGAGGGGTGGACCATAGGATTGGGCACAAAAGGGAGGGCATAGAAGGGAAGAAACTCTGTGGTCTGGCTCAAGGCAGCCCCTTTGGTTTCCAGGTAGGTTTTGAAATAAGAAATCCTCTCATCTAGCTCCTGCTTGTCCTAGAAAGAGAACATGTGTTCAGGGTCTTTGGCTCCATACTCAGTCCTCCTGCTCACCCTGTCCACTCTTTGAGTTTCCCTTGGTCCCAGCAGTTTGACTAGCATTGCCCCATCCAGCCTGGCATGGCACACTCCTGCAGTGTCTAACATTTTCACAGCATTGCCCCATCCAGCCTGGCATGGCACACTCCTGCAGTGTCTAACATCACTTTAATCAGGGATGCCAGAGGACCAGTGTGTAGTTCACATGTTCTTTACATCACTATCACCATCTTCTCATGTCCTTCAAAAGTTCCATTAACATAATTTTCAGTGTCAGAACCAATCTCACCTTGTCTATCATAATCTACTTGACTAATTCTCCCATAGTGAGATGTACCCACCATTGCTTCCACTTTCCAGACACATAAACATTTGTCTGCATTCCCATGTTGCCCTTGGAGAGGTTTCTAAAGCGGAATGACACATTTTTGTAGTTTCCTGACACAGAAGTGCTCTCCTTCCCTTCATGAAGCTAAGGATTGACTGTGCCCACATCACTGTTCCACTCACAACCGAACTCCAGGAACCCCTCCATCACTGTTCCACACACAACCCAACTCAAGGGACCCCTCCATCACTGTTCCACACACAACCCAGCTCAAGGGACCCCTCCATCACTGTTCCACACACAACCCAGCTCAAGGGACCCCTCCATCACTGTTCCACACACAACCCAACTCAAGGAGTCTCCTCTCCAGCTTCAGCGTGGACACCGAGGCTCTAGAACCTTCCTCTTTCTGTAAACACATCTCACTCAACCTAGGCCATGAGGTCCTCTTCTGAGTACTGGACTTAGAAAATAGGTAACACTGACTTTCATATTACATCAAAATAGAAACATGTTAAACAGCAATAAGGTGGGAAAAAACAAAACAATAACAAGCACCAAAGAGTCTGCCCCTCCCCCCACGTGGGTCAGCCTTGGAGGAACAGACTTCAAAGAATGGCTACTTCACAGGGGAGGAAAGCCACTCCCTCACCACTGCCCTCCACTGGTGCCCCTGACATTTCAATGAATTCCTACAGGAACTCAGGTCAGTGTTACTTTGAGTGATCAAATGTCAGCTCTCTGTCCTTTGCTGTTTCATCTATAATAGAAGGCGCATCTACTACAGGGGCTTGACACACCAGCCCTCTGCCTCCCTTTCCACATCTAGGAAAAGGCAGCAGAAGCTAAATTCGAGCTGCCCATATACCTTCAACACTACTTCTTCACTACTTGCATTTAAATGTATGGTCTGTGCCTTTTCTTAGCTAAGCCAAGTTACTAAGTAAAGCAAACTTGCTTTGATGAGTCTCCAAGAACCTGAGGTGTTTAGGAAAACAATATAACTTTGATCATAGAAATGACCAAATCTGCATATAAATTAGAAAATAAACTTCTGAGAATGCGGCCAAAAATCGTTTATCAATACCTAAGATGCAATGTGATAAAATGCTCACAAAACTGAACCAGTGCTTCTTTGGAATCCATGGCGGCCTGCGAGCTAACTCAGACTGACCCTAACCAAACCAGCCTACCGGCCTGCCTCCAGAGTACTTCAGAAGATAGATGGCGAAATGGATGTGAAGATAGAACTCCAGCTTCTGGGCCAGTGGGTCGCTGTCTCGGATGGAGCTGGGAAGGTGTCCCTCCCACAGATCGAAGAACAACTTCTGGTCTCCACTGTCAAATGCTGCCACCAGATCCTTCTGCAGGGAAGAGGAAGACACAACAGGAACCCTAGCTGATGCTCATCCCCACACCCCAAACTCTCACCACTACCTACTGCTAGAGCTACACACACTCCTTCCCAGAGTGTGTGTAGCTGCAAGCCCTGTGACCACTCCTAGTTTTTCAGCCTTTGCAATACCCAAGCTGGACTCCATGAAACACTGAGGCCAGAGAACTAGTGGGCACATGAGTGCCCTGAAGTCTCCCTGAGAGACTACCAACATTCCATGGTGGAGAACAACTGTTCAGAAGCTGCCTTACCCTGAGCTACTACCATCCTTTCAGTACAAACTGGAATTTTTTTGATTGCTTTTCAAGACAGGGTTTCTCTGTGTAGCCCTGGCTGTCCTGTAGACCATGCTGGTCTCAAACTCAAGAGACCCATCTGCCTCTACCTCCGGAGTGATGGGATTGAAGGCATATGCCACCACAGCCTGGCTGAAACCCAGAACATTTTAAAGCAAGCCCAGTAAAGCATTTCCATCTCTTCCAAACAGGGAGCCTGTTAGCCACTATGGTTGGAGGCTGCCAGAACAGAGCACAGGCAGCCATGCACAGTCCCCCATTAGAGTGGAGGGACCTGGTGTGAGGCTCCTCGTTCTCCTGTGAATAAAGAATATAATGGCGAAGTGACTCTGCCCAGGGATGTGCTCCTAGGCCAGGCTCAGCCCCATGCTGCCTCTCCTGAGTGTCCTGCAACCCTGCCAGCCACTCTGGGGAAGCTGAGAGTTTCATGACTATAGATGAGGCTAGTGCAGACTTACCTGGTCATTTAAGGCTTAGAGTCATGAAACTTTTTAAAACATGTCTTGGCACACTACACATATCAAATGGTCTGTCTACAATTTATTTTAGAGTATGCATTTGTAAACCTGAAATTACAAACCTTCACTATGTCATTACCATCATATCTGTACGTGGAAATGGTCCTTGCTTTAAAAAAACCTCTACACATAAAACAATCCACTGTTACTATAGTCACAAACTGATCCTCGGTTAGTCAGGTCACCAAGATGACAATGCATATATATCACCAATCACACTGCTGCTGGAACTAGGCCTAAGGTTGGTTAAGGCTACCAACCATTAGTAGATTTTGGGTAAACACCATTCCAGACATTTTTGTTGTTTGAGTTTCTAAAAGAAATATTTTAATTACACCTGTTTGGAGAGCATATATGTATGTGCATGTGTGTGGTGTGTTGGTACATGTGCCACAGCATGTACATGAAGGCCAAAAGACAACTTTTGGGAGTTGGCTCTCCCACCACATGGTCCTAACAATCAAACTAAGGTCCTCAGAGTTGGGAGCAAGTGTGTTTACCCACTAAGCCATCTTTCTAGTCCAGATTTTGGCTAGATTCCCTCGTCTTAACTTCCTGCCTCAGTCTCCCATGTGATGGGAATAGGGCGTGCACAACCATACTCCTCTTTTGCTCCAAGGATTTTTGTTTGGGAAATCTATCAGTGGGCACTATGATAGAGTAGCATATGTTGTAGTATAGCAATACACAGTGTCATCGAATAACTATTGATCCGGTAACCAAAAAACAAAGATAGATAAATATCAAACACACACACCAGAAAAGACCAAATATTAGCAGAGATGGATAAAATTGGAACCTTCTACATTGTTGGAGAGAACGTAGATATGCGTATGGATGTTTTGCCAACATGTATGTCTCTGCACCACATGCATGCCTGATACTTGCAGAAGCCAAAGGAAGGTGTCAGGTGGTTGTCTGCCACCATGTGGGTGCTGGGAATTAAACCCAGGTCCTCTGGAGGAGCAGCAGTGTTCTTAACCACTGAGCCACTTCTCCAGCCCCTTCTGTTTATTTTTGCTTATTTTTTTTCATAGCAACCATCCTAATGTGTTTAATGTATGTTATCTTGAGGTTCTTAGTGCATTCCTGATAGCTTTGGGTCTATTTTTACCTAACTTTAAAGAATTTGCAATTTTCAGACCATCACAAGCCTCTCACAGAGCTAAAGACAAGGCTAGTCTTACCTGGATTATCAGTGACTTGGAGTCCTTCTTTATTGATCCACCTACAGTTTTAGATAATGGCTTTCCTTTTACTTTGCATTCTTTTGAAAATGTCTTCACGGTGTCTTCAAATTCCACAAAATCCAAATACTAAGAGAGAACATAATTCAGGAACAACAACAACAACAAAAACCCAACTAATTCCAAATAATCCAATTCAACAACAGTCAAATGTCCTGAACACACATCTCTCTAATACAAACATAAAAGGCCAACAGAAATATGGTCACAACCATACCCATAAGAAAGACTACTATCGGGGTTGGAGAGATGGTTCAGTGGTTAAGAGCACTGCCTGCTCTTCCAAAGGTCCTGAGTTCAATTCCCAGCAACCACATGTTGGCTCACAACCATCTGTAATGAGATCTGGTGCCTTCTTCTGGCCTGCAGACATACATGCAGGCAGAACATTGTATACATAATAAATAAATCTTAAAAAAAAAGATATTAAAAAAAAAGAAAGTCTACTATCAAAAAGACAGGCCTGGGAACTACAGGTGGTTATGAGCCACCCTACATGGGTTCTGGGAACCAAATCTGGGTCTTCTGTATGAGCAATGTGTGCTCCTAACCACTGAGCCATCTCTCTAGCCCCATCATTTTTATTAATAAATTAAATGATGTAGTCTTGAGAACAATGCTCTAATACTATTCTTCACACATGTCCTTTCAGTTGGCATCAGTCACATCATGTTCACCTTTTCTAAACTGGCTGGGTCGCCTGGTCCTGTCCACAGTCCTTGTGGTGCCAGCTACAGCAATTTGTTCACCATTACCACAATGAACAAAGTTGCCTATCCAAAGTGGACACCCGGCATCCCTCCATTGTCTCCTGGGCATAACTGACAGTTTTCTCACAATGAACAGCATCCACATTTTCAGCTACGAAACTCAGAGATCTGCCTGAATCCTACTCTTCCTAAGCTTTCAGTGCAGCAAATCTAAATGGCCATAAGTCAGAGAAGGGTATTCCAGGACTGTGGCACATGCCTGTGATCCCTGCACTGGGGAGGCAGGGGCAGGAGGATAAGGATTTCAAGGTCATCTCTGGCTACATATCAAGTCCAAGGCCATCCTAGGCCACATGAGACCCAATCAAACATAACACACTCACACTCGAGAGTGAGTGCAGGAAGTGGATACTCATGTAATGGTTAAAAATAAATAAATAATTACAAATTAGAAAGAATCTGCTGCACCTACTATTTATTTGTATATTCATTTGTTCATTTAATTTGTTTTGATAACAGGGTCTCTGTATAAAACCCAGACTGACCTGCTGAAGCCTCTCAAGTACCTGGATGACATGTGTGAGCTTTCTATATTTTAAGGATTTATTTGTTTTTATATCATGCACAGAGAGCATGTCTGCGTGTATAGCTGTACACCACATACATGCAGCATCCACAAAGCCAGACGACATCACATCCTTTGAAACTGGAATTATAGATGGCTATTAGCCACATGTGGGTACTGGGAACCAGACCTGGGTCTTCTGGAAGAGCAGTCAGTGCTTTTAACCACCAAGCCATTCTTGCGACATTTTAAATCTTTAAGATTTATTCATTTTTATTTTTATGTGTATGGGTGTTTTTGCCTGTAGGTATGTCTGTGCATCACATCCATGCCTGGTATCTACAGAAGCCAGAAGAGAGTGTTGGAGTCCCTGAGACTAGAATTACTAATGGTTTTGTTTGTTTGTTTTTGGTCTTTGGAGACAAGGTTTCTCTGTGGCTTTGGAGGATGTCCTGGAACTAGCTCTTGTAAACCAGGCTGGTCTCGAACTCACAGAGATCCACCTGCCTCTGCCTCCCAAGTGATGGGATTAAAGGCATGTGCTACCAAGGCCCGGCTAATTACTAATGGTTTTAAGTCATCATGTGGGTGCTGAGAATCAAACCTGGGTCCTCTGGAAAAGCAGTCAGTGATCTTAACCTCTGAGTCATTTCTCTGGTCTTACTACATCCTAAAATACATGTTCTGGGGACCTGAGTTCCAAACCAAGTACCCACAAAGGCTGTTTCACAAATGCCTGCAACTCCAGCTCCAAGGGATCCAATGCCCAACTGTGGCCTCCATCAGCAGTCACACACGCAATGCAAGGAGCCATATAGACATAAACACACAAATAATGTTTTTTTAAAAATGTTTTTCTGCAACTTGTATTTCATTTAACTACCTCTTTCACCAGTCCAAGTAATTCAGATTCATGGGCCAGAATATCCCCCATAGTGAATTGTTACTGGTAATTCCCACAGCAGAAATCTCTACAAGACAAAAACATAAGACAAAGAAAGGTTAATTTCAACCATCTGAGAAATCACAAAAGGGTGGCTATAGTGGGCAGAACAGCGGGCCCCAAAGTCAGGCACGCAGTAGTTCCCAGACCTGTGACTACAGAGCTGTCCTTCAATCACAGAGATAATCCTGGATTACCAGTGTACCCAAGAGAGTCACAGAGGAAAGCAGGAAGGCCAGTGTCAGAGAGAAAGATGCAGAAAGATGGACCTGTCACTGCAGGCTTTGAAGACACAAGTCAAGGAGGCAAGGCACACTGTCCTCTACCTTGTCCTGGAAGAAATAAATTATCAAGACATGAGTTTGGCACACTCGTGTGAGTCCCCTTAGTAGAGGTCCAATTAAATATTTTGTGTGGCTATGCACTGGAAATGTTCATTGCAGGCTTCAAACTCCCAGAACTGCAGGACACTAAGCCTGCACTACTTCAAGTCACCAAGTTAATGGGAATTCCTCAGAGCAACAGCAGAAACCATGAGAGCTGAACTGTGGTTCTATTGGTAGAGTGCTTGACTAGAAGGCAAAGAACCCTCTAGCATCTCATAAGCTGGGGGTGGTGACACACATCAATAATCCTAGCACTTGGGAGGGGTAGTGCGTCACATACATATATGCCTGTAATCCCAGCACGTAGGTGTTTCTAGGATCCTACAGATGAAGGTGGACTCCTTAGACCCATCTCTCTAAGTCCTTTGCAGCTCTCCACTGACCTGCTGACTTGAACCACCCTGGCCGTCAAGCAGTTCCAGCATACACAGAAACTCAATGATGCCCACAATAGACCCTGCCCTCAGGACCCGAGTGGACACAATTCCATCTGTTTTGATGCTCTTCCTGCAAACATCTACATCTTATTTGGTCTCCACTTAAAGATGCCCACCCAGAGAGAACCTGCCAAACCACATCTAGCTCAGCACTCCCAAATGCTGGGCTTCCCAGAAGCACTCCCCACCGGCTGTCCTTGATGCACCTGCAACAGAATCTGCTGCAATAAGTCAAGGCAAGCATTGTGTGAGGCGCTACGCCTTTGCTGTCTGTTAGACAGCCAGGTCCTGACAGGTCTGGGGCTGAATGGAAAGAGATTCTGGGAAGAGAATGAAAACAAGAGCTGAGGTTACAGGGTAATGGATTGAAGAAAAGGAAAGGCAGGAACCACACTGACTAAGGCAACTTCACAGGGTATCCAGAATTCTGAGTTCACTGAAGCTGTATGGACTAAACCTAAGATGGCACCACTGTGGAGCCATTGCTTTCTCCAGGCACTTGCAGCTGTCTGTGCTCGGTTACCAGGTGAGGTCTTCCTTGAAGAAAGAAATGTAACAATGGTGGAACACAGAAGCTAAGCTAGGTTAGGGTCAGGGGAGGCAAGGGCAGTAAAGGTGCTACACAGTGAGGTAACAGTGTTCAGGTATTGCAAAAGGGAGCACATTCCAGCCAAGTGGATCTCTCTCTGTGAGTCTGAGGCCAGCCTGGTCTACACAGTTCCAGGACAGCTAAGGCTACATAGAGACACCCTGCGCTGACAAACCAAAAAGGAAAAAAAGGAGGAGAGATGTTCACAATTCCATGGTCAGTATGGGAGAGAAGCTTGGCGTTGTCACACTTTTGGGCGTGACACGGTGACTAGAAGCAGACTACCACTGAATGCATGGATGGGAAGTATGGAGGAGAACATGCTGAAAATAGGAACAAGGAAAGTGGCTAGGTCAAGATGCTGACGTCTCCTAGACAAGTACAGAGGTACAGAGGAAAGCTTCTATAAGAAAACAGGCTGTCAGGGGTACATGGGAGAACTGGCTGCTCCTCTAGAGGACCTAGGTTTAATCCCCAGCACCCTCATGACAGGAAATAACTGTCTATAACTCCAGTTTCAAGGGAATCCATGGTAACAGGCAAAATAGTCATACACATAAAATAAGTAAATCTTTAAAAAGAAAGAAAGCAGACAGGCTGAAAGCTCTGTGTGGTGACACAGGCTCCCCTTTAATCTTAGCACTAGGGAGGCTGAGGCAGGGTGATCTCTGAGTTTGCGGCCAGCCTGGTCTACAGAGTGAGTTCCAGGACAGGCAGAGCTATACAGAGAAGCCCTGTCTTGAAAAACCAAATAAATAAATTTAATTAAGTTAAAAAGTAGGCTGAGCACGCCATAGGGAGCAAGACAATAAGCAGCACTCCTCCTTTGCCCCAGCATTGGCTCCTGCCTCCGGGTTCATGCCCTGTTTGAGATCCTGTCCTGACTTCCTTTGATGCACAGTGATGTGGAATCGTAAGCAAAATAAACCCTTTCGTCCCCGTGTTGCTTTTGCTCACGCTGTCTCATGGCAGCAATAGAAACTCTAACTAGGACAGTGCCCCACCACATGAGCAAATTCACATCCACCTTAGAAAAGCGACGACGCTAGAACTAAAACTATGCTGATACTGCAGGAGAACGTGCAGGAATTGGTTCTCTCCTTCCAACATGTGGGTCCTGGGCTTCCCACTTTGGTCGGTCAGCGAGTGCAAACTTCTTGCCAGTTCAAGGTCACCCGTTTGAGAACCCTCTCTGTTGGATGGATGTCCCGTCTCCTTAGCTCGGTTAATTTAGTCCAGACAACCTCTGGGCTAAGGATCTACTTTGTGGAGAAAGAAGGGGGCCGTTCATCATGTTTTGGTATGCAGTGACTTCTGCATTTCCACCTGCGAGAGACTTAGGCCTATTTTTGAATACGAATATGAATTTGTACTGCGAGTACCATGCTTCCACTTGGATTCTGTGAAGCTTGGCCTGGATGCTGGGAGGGAAAACTACTAATGAAAACTATGGGGAGAAGGGACTAACCGCCCCACGCCACGGAACCGTGCTGCCGAGGCTCACTCCAAGTCCGCCCCACCGCAGCAGCAGAGCGAGGTGTTCCCGGGAGAAGCAAAGAAACCACGCTTGCGAAGCGCAGGCGGCTGCCTCGGGCCCTGGCCATGTAGGAGCCAGGGCTGACGAGGCTAGCCACCCACGCGGGGTTCCCAGGCCTGCGCCACGGGGCCCAGCCGCATCCAGGGCCGCGCTTACCGGCTGTCGGCGTCCCCCCCCGCCGGGGGCCCGTGGGGGCGGCCCCCTCCCACAGCGCAGGGCGAAGCCGGCGCGGAGCATCCTGGGAGGGAGAGCGGGCGGCCGCAGAAGCGGTCCGCAGCGGAAGTGAGGGTCCCGCTGAGTCCGTCCGTTTAAGGTCCGAGCACCACACTTCCACCTACGACAGAACCTCCCAGAAATTTAAATTAGAGTCACTTTTGTCTTTTCCATATGAATGTAGGTTTGTAAACAAAAGAACGGAGACTGGCGAGATGGCTTAGAGGCTAAAGGCGCTTTCCTCCAAGCCCGACGACAGAAGTTACCTGGGGAGTTTACGAGAGTGCATTAAACTCAGGGTTCCTTAGTGTATTCAGATCTACTCTTTACTCTGGTCCAAACTCAGTGCTGAAGGCAATAAAGAAACTCTTTCCCCTCTTCTAGGAGTGCTGAGGCTCTCTGTGGAAGTCTCTATATTTTCGTTTCCCAGGCCCTCAAAACGTGGGAGACTCCCAAGTCTATAAATGGACTGTCCAGGGGACTTGGAGATGGGAGGTGACCTCGCCTTTAAAGGAGCCCTAGGGTAAAAATAAACAACACACATACAAAAAAGTCCTGGGGTGGTCTGAGGCCCCCATCTATCTCCTGAGCTCTCTGCCCTGGCAAGGCTTTTGAGTTAGGATGTCTTTCAAAACAGGCTGTACTATGTTCTGTCCAGGTAACATGGCTTGAAAATAATTTTCCCTGCCTGTATTCTCAGCTAACATTGTCAGTATAACTGTGTACAAGGGGGTTATCAAGTAAAATATAGGACAGCCACTTATCTTTAATTTTCAAATAACTATCAGGAATATATACATAATGAAAAGTTTCTGAACCCCATAAGCCTCTCTGCCGATGCAGCAATCCAAATCAGACCAAATCAAACCGAGTTAGAAAAAAAGCCCACATTTAATGGATACAACGCTCCCCGATGGCCTTCCAGCCCCCAGAGAGGAGATGGGAAAGAGAGACCAGAAAACCACCAGGGAGTGGTCTTAAGCATCTCTGGGGGGAGGGTCATCATTGGCAGGCTTTCTGGGATGTAGCAGGGTTTGGAGAGAGATAGAGGAGGGGGCTTGGGTGGAACGTCCACCATAATATCCTAGACTCTTTGGCTACATAGATGCCAGGGACTGGGGTGAAGCTTCCACCATAACACATAATATTGCCATATTTGATTGTACACATGTGGTGCTATTTTCCACCATAACATCCCAGACTCTCTGGGTATGTGGATTCCAGGGGCTGGAGTGAAGCTTTCACCATAACACATAATATTGCCATATTTGATTGTACACATGTGGTGCTATATTTTGAACTTTTATTTGCTAATTATGTAACCATAGTTGTGCCCAGCATCATACTAAGCAAGTCCCATGGGTTCTTTGATTGGCTCTATGTCTATGGGATGGATAATGGGCTCAGTGTTTTATAGGCTCACACTGTTGTACTTCACCAGAATTTGGCGCATCTGCAAAACAGCCACAGTTAACACATTCCCCACCCTCTTGGTTTTCAAAATCCCCCATCCTTAGTGTTCTGAGAAGGACCCAGATAAAATTGTCTGCTCTTCCTCAAGAATCCCATGCAACTCAGATCCCAAACAACTTGCAGTTGACTGATCCCCTTGTTTACCCATGGCATCGGCAACCACTGGCCTTTCAGCTTCCCATGGTCTCCTAGTTAGAATTTAGAAACTACTTACTCGCCACTCACTGGGCGGTGGTGGCGCACGCCTTTAATGCCAGCACTTGGTAGGCAGAGACAGGTGGCTCTCTGTGAGTTCAAGGCCAGCCTGGTCTACAGAGTGAGTTCCAGGACAGGACCCAAAGCTACACAGAGAAACCCTGTCTCAAAAAGAAAAAAAAAGAAAAGAAAGAAAAAAAAAAAGAAACTTACTCACTGAAACTGTTCAGAAAAAAACATTTTTGGGTTTTCTGCTGAGGGTTAACCATAGATCTAACCATAAACCACCCTAATCATATATCATGTAAGTGTTAGATAGAACCCTACTCTCCCTATTGCAATTACCTGAATAAAATCCATCTTCTTAACTGTCCGGGTTTGTCTTTGATAAAATGAATTACATGAGGTAGAGCCCTAAGGGCCTTGGCAGTTACAAGCACTGGCTGTTTGCTCTTCCAGAGGACAGGTTTGATTCCCAGCACCTACATGGCAGTTTACAACCACTTGTAACTATAGTTCCAGAGTCTCTAATACCCTATTCTGGCCTCTGAGGGCACTGCATGTACACGGTACATAAACATACATACAAGCCAAATAAACATACATGTGAAAAAATAAAATTTAGGGTCAGAGAGATGGATCAGCCATTAAAAGCTTCCGGAAGACCCAAGTTCAATTCTCATACCCACATGGTGGCTCACAACCATCTGTAATTCCAGTTATCTGATGCTTTTTTCTGGACTCTACAGGCCCTGCACATATGCAGTGCACAAACAAGGAGACACACATAAAAATAAATGAATAAAAATATAAATAAATACATTTTAAATTAAAAAGTTATGTCTTAAGAGGTGTGGGGGGGGATTGATTCCTCAGAGTTCACAGAACTGGGGGGAGCAAACATAATGCAGGCATTTGTGCCTCAGAGCTCTGACCAACAATAAAAACCCTTCCAGGGAGTAGAAAGATGGCTCAGTCAGGAAACTGCCTGCTGTGCAAGCATGAAGGTCCGAGGTCAGCTTCCCAGCACCCTCATAAGAGCTAGGTCTGCTGGTATGCCATTGTAACAGCAGTGCTGGAGTCATGGGCAGCAGAGACAGTGGGACCCTGAAGTTCACTGGCCAACCAGCCTACCCTAAGTGATGAGTTCCAGGTTCAGTGAGAGACCCTGTCTCAATAAACAAACAAACAAACAAACAAATAAAATGAAGAATGATCGCCGGGCATTGGTGGCGCACACCTTTAATCCCAGCACTCGGGAGGCAGAGGCAGGGAGGGCTCCTGGGAGTGGAGGG